GGGTAGATCTCTAAATTAGGGTCCCGTTTTAGGTCCCTCCAAACAGTACGGCACCCGTATAAAAAGGATCCTAAAAGGGACTTTAATTTGGAGAACTACCCATATAAACCCTAAACCCTAAACCCGGCGCCGGTGCAACCCTGGACCCAAAGCCTTGAGTCACTTTCCGGAGCTCTGAACTCCCTCAACCCTGAACCCTCAACTGAAGCCTACCCATAGGCGCCATAGTAGTTCCTTTTTGGGATTACCTGATAAGACTGATTCTAAATATGAACCACATAAAGGAACTATACCATAGGGTTTTATGGGTAGTTGGCGACTCGAAACTTTGTCAGCTCTAACTAGTATAAGAGTATAGGGCCCTTACTGTTAAGGGTCTTTTGGTCCTGAAGGATCCTAAACCCTAAACCCGAAACCCTAAACCCGAAACCCCTAAACTCTAAACTCCTAAACTCCCCACCTGGAGGTTCCGTCAATTAAGGAAACCCGAGACCCTAAACCCTAAACCCGGATGCCCCTAAACTCCCCACCGGTAGTTTCCTTTAATTAAGGATCGTATGTGACTCGAGGTATCCCAGGTCCTACAGTTCTTCCAGCAGGATGCCTCTTGCCTCGAGTTTAGGGTTCAGGGGTTTAGGGTTCAGGGGTTTAGGGTTCAGGGGTTTAGGGGTTTAGGGTTTAGGGGTATAGGGGGTTATGGGTTTAGGGTTTAGGGTTTTCCGTCCCGGCTGTAGTCCTGGGCCTCAGGGTAATCCTGTGTTGTTGTCTTCAGGTCCTCCGGGACTTTCATGCTTCTGTATTTCAAGATCGCTTTAGGGTCTGATGTAGGGGCCTTAATAATTCGAATAGGGTTTGGGGGTATGTTATACTACAATTATAACAAGGAACCCCCAAAACCCTATTATTCTTATTGTTAAGGGCCCCTACTTTCGGGTAACGCCCCGTTGTGGCTTTAGGGTGTTTTGAGGCGCTGAAGGGAGCCCTGATCTCCCCAACCCTCGCAGCTCTTCATGTCAGACGCCCAGAGAGCCCAATACCCCTTTAATTAAGGTATGTACCGTAAATCACAAGATGAAGTATGTACCGTAAATCATGAGATCAAGGCCCTTAAAGTATAAGGTATGTTGCTTAATTGAGAGGTATAGGGCTCTCTTAAAAACCCTTGAGCCCGAATCCCGCAAACCCTCCCAACCCCCAAGCCCCAAACCTAAACCCCTTAACCCCTGAGCCGACAACCCTAAACCTAAACCCCTTACGGATCCCTTTGAAGGAACCCTTTAAGGGATCCCCTTATAGTAGAAGCCCAAAAGTTGGAAACCCAATAGCCTCAATCCTTAAGAGTAATGGGGCCTATATAGATAATTACCAATACTATTTTCGGAGTTTCTTCTTGTAGTTGTAGTAGAATGGGCCCCAAAACCATATTCTAATTATTAAGGCAAGCCCCTAAGCCCTTAACCCTAAGACCCTAAGACCCTAAGACCCTAAGACCCTGAGACCCTAAGCCCCTAAGCCCCTAAGCCTCTAAGCCCCTAAGCCCCTAAACCCTAAACCCTACGCCCTACAACCCTAAACTCTAAACCCTAAACCCTAAGCCCTAACCCCCAAGCCCCTAAGCCTTAAACCCCTATAAACCCTAAGCCCTAAGCCCTAAACCCTAAGCCCCTAAACCCAAAACCCAAAACTCTAAGCCCCAAAATTCTAAGCCCCTAGACCCTCAACTCTAAACCCTAAACCCTAAACCCTAAACCCTAAACCCAAAGCCCCAAACCTTAAGCCCTAAGCCCGAAGCCTTAAGCCCTAAGCCCCAACTTGGACGTGGAGGTCTAGGCTTTCCGGGGTTCCAGGCTTCGAGACCACGGCTTTGCGGAACTGGTGGTGTGGCTGTTTCAGGGTTTAGGGTCTAAGCTTTAGGGTTATAGGGTTTAGGTGGGTTTAGGGCTGGTTTAGGGTTTATAAGGGGGTAGGGCGGTTTTGGGGTATAGGGTTTTGGGGGGGTTTAGGGTTTCAGGGTTTATAAGGGGTTAGGGGTTTTGGTGTTTTGGGGTGTAGGGTTCAGGTTTTTTCTCTAAGAGTTTGCGTCTTCCGCAGACATGCGCGGTTTGGGGTTGGGAATGTTGGCGGAGGGTTTAAATGTCCCGGTGCTCCTGAATTCCCCGAAAACTACTGCATGTATGGTATCAGAAACCGGAACCCAAACAGATAACAGAGTTCCTTGAAGGCGGGCTATTTGGACTTATGGCTGTTACTTTGGGGAGGGAAAGTGCACGCCACTCCAAAAGCCTCAAACTAAAACAAAGCCTACACCCTAAACCCAAAACCCCTAAACTCAAAACCCCTTAACCCTAAACCCAAAACCTGCAAACTAAAGCCACTATTGCGAGACAGACTTCTAGAAATCCTCATCCTCGCACTCCGAGAGACCTCTTAGTTGACCTTGAATCTCGAATCTTTTCCCAACAGGTCAAATGTACTGTTATGGGGGATACTTCCCTAAATCATAGTAGTAACTCTTGATCTAGAAACCCTACAAGCTACCATATAGGTACACATAGGACTCATCATAGGACCCTTTGGGCTTTAGACCCCAGAACACCCATACCGTAAACCCTAAACCCTGTAAACCCTAAACCCTAAACCCTATAAACCCTTAAACCCCTAAACCCTAGACTCCTAGACCCCGGTAAACCCTAAACCCTGTAAACCCTAGAGCTTGAAAGCCCCGCCGCAAACCTTGAGATGCCCAGGCCTGGAATCCTAAAACGTCCTTAAGACGGGACGGTTCCCTAACCCCCCAAGTACCTACTATATAGGGGCCCTAGGGGCTCTAGTACCCTATATAGTAGGTCCCTGGGGGGGTTAGGGGTTATTCGCAGAGAAAAGGACCCGGTTAAAACAGACTCCCTTCAAGGTTTAGAACTTACCTTAATCAACCAAAGCTCACTTTTCTGTAGGTTCTGATTATGAACCCTAACACGGGATTATAGGGACCCTACAAAAAAGTAGGTTCTTGTGGGTTGAGGTAGGGTTTATCTTAATAACCTATGAGAATCGGAAGCTTCTCTCCTTTTGGAGAACCCTGACATGAACCCTCATATTGAAACTGTCGAGGCCCTACACACCAAGGAGGTTTTGGTAGCTTAAGCAAGGCCTCCAAGAGATGCTGTGTGGCCTAGGTCATTGAGGCCTCGTTCCGGAACCTTCTGCGCAGCATCCGTGTCTGCCGGCGACATTGCTCCGTAGGGCTGCGAGCAACCCTTCACCCTAAACCTCCAACCTTTCAGCGACAACTTTTAAGACAAGCCATGAAGGGTCTGAGTGATGAGTAATGGAATCCCCCGATGGTCCCTAACAGATCTTTACTATAATATTGCCCGTGATATTGAGTGCCAAGCTTGGCCCTTGGAGACTCATGACTCATGGGCCCAAACTACAGCCTGAACCCCTGCGCGGATAAAACAATATGCAACTCTAAACAGGTAGGTTGTCGGAGGTTCAGGTAACGTAGAGAGGGGCATTTCAGAGTCAGAATAGTCCTTGTGGCTGTGTATAGGGAGCCTGTATTTTCGGTTTTAGGCGGGTTGGTGTTCGGTCTTTAAGGCGTACATAGCCCAGCCGACACTTTGGAAGGCCAAGATGGTGTTCAGCTCTGCGTACAGTCTGAACACATATAAGATCAGCATACAGTACTGAGTCATGAACAGAAAGAACTTGTAAGAAGTAAACATGCGCACAATAATGCTATGACGTCGTAATGATGAGCACGCTGATGACAATGGTACTGACTACAACAATGATACAGGGGGTGAGCGGCCAGGACAACGATAGCGGATTCGGTTCTGCTAGTGACACTTATACGACAGGTTTTCGACAAAGTCAGCAACCCTAAACCCCAAGCCCTAAGCCCTATAAGCCTATAAACCCTATAAACCCTAAACCCTAAACCCCAAGCCCTAAACCCTAAGCTCTAAGACCTAGGAGTCCACCGTCTTCGACGAAGTCATTGCGGCTCACGAGAAGTTCCTCTCGGCGCTGACACTGCACTTCTTCCTCCAGGAGTGGAGACGGTAGGGCCAAGGCTTCAGAGTTTTGGGTTGAGGTTTTAGAGTTTGGGTTCAGGGTTTAGGGTTCAGGGTTTGGAGTTTTGGGTTCAGGGTTTAGGATTCAGGGTTTAGGGCTTAGGGTTCAGGGTTTCAAGTTCGCGTTTAGGATTCAGCCCTGATCCCTGCATCCCAAATGCTGCCTTCAATTCCTCAGATGCTGCACCCCATGCCCCAAACATCCCTCGGGTTCGGCTTAATCCGGAAACGATGCGGGCTGCACCCTAAACCGTCAACCCTGAAGCCGAGAACGCTGCATCCTAGGCCGCAAACATCCCTAAACCCTAAGCCCAAAGCCCTAAACCCTAAACCCCGAAACCCTGAACCCTAAACCCCAAAACCCTAAACCCTCAACCCCTCAACCCCAAAACCCCCCAAAATCCCCTAACCCCAAAACCCCAAAAACCCCCCAGAATCATCCCTCAGGCTCCAGACTTGCATCATGAGCTGATGTCGGCTCTCCGGATCGTCACGCTGCGACTCGACGGAGGGTCACCGAAGAGGTGTGGGGTTTCGGGTTTCGATTGCAAATCAAAGGGGTGTAGGGCTGGGGGTTTAGGGTTTCAGGGCTTAGGGTTTAGGGTTCTGATGGCAGATCGAGGGGGTGTAGGGTTTCGGGTTTGGATTGCAAATCAAAGGGGTGTAGGGCTTCGGGTTTCGGGTTCTGATTGCAATTCAAAGGGGTGTAGGATGTGGGGTTTTTAGCAGGGTTCGGGTTCTGATTTCAACTGTTCTGCGCGCATGTTTCACGTCGTTCATGTCCTGGAAAGAGAGCTGGACAGGCGCTTTGTTGCTGCCAACGGTCGGCTTAGGCTTCCGCCCCCAGCCAAGCACAAGAAGCCTACAGCCTGCCAGAGCCGCAAGTCCGGAAACCCCAATACTTAATACTCTATTTCCAATTCCCAAACCCTCATCCCCAAACGGTAAGCCCTATACCTTCAACCCTACACCCTAAACCCAAACTCTAAGCCCCCAGCCCTAGAGTTGAAGCCAACTGGACCGAGCCCAGATTCAGCCAAACCGCTTTGCTGCAGACCTACCGGAGCCCCCAGGTGGGGCCGTCAGTGTTTTGAAGGAGTTCAGATGGTTTTCACGGTGATGGGTAAGACTCCTTTAGGGATTCTATAGGGGATCTATCACGTGGCTTCTGAGGGCTGAGGTCTAAAGTTTTTTTGGAGGGCTAATTAAGGTCCAAAGCTTTTTAGGGTTTAGGGCTTAGGGTTTGGAGGTAAGGGTGTTGGGGTTGTTCCCTTGCTTGTCTCAATCTGGCGCTTCTGGAACCCGAAGCCCTTAAACCCCCAAGCCAACCCTAAACCATAAACCCTAAACCCTAAACCCTAAACCCTACACCCTAAACCCTAAACCCTAAACCCTAAACCCAACCTCAGAAGGAAGTGGAGTCAACTGGGCCCCTTCTCCCTGCCAAGCTGAGCGCCTTAAGGCGGTATAGGCTGTACTTGGAGGTTCATGGGTAGTTATAAGTGGGGTTATAAGTTCCCTAAGATGGGTTATAACTACAGTTACCCTACTTACAACCCTACTTATGACTACCCATGACGCCTAAACCCTAAACCCTAAACCCTAAATATGACTACCCATGAACCTCCAAGTAGGGTGTCCGTGGCGCTAGAAGGGAAGGAACTCTGACTGGGAGTCCCTTCTCAAACTCTTGCAGCCCCAAAGGGTCCAAAGTACCTACCTGTAGTAGAATTTAGGGTTTCTACCTTATAATGTAGGGTTTCTGTATTAGTAGGAATCCTTATAATGTAGGGTTTCTATATTAGTAGGAATCCTTATAATGTAGGGTTTCTATATTAGTAGGAATCCTTATAATGTAGGGTTTCTATATTAGGAATCCTTATGATGTAGGGTTTCTATATTAGGAATCCTTATGGTGTAGGGTTTCTATCTTAGGAATCCTTATTATGATCTGAGAAAGTATCCCCCATAACAGTACCTAGGACCCTTTGGCAGTCCCATTCGGATCCATTGCCAGCTGGGCCACTGGGATATGGGCAGTTCTCTACATTAGGATCCGTTTCAGGGTCCTTTTTTTAAGAGTGCCTTACTATACTGGGGACGTAAAAAGGTACCCTAATTTAGAGAACTACCCATATCTTTGTATTTCGCATTACGGGGTTAGTGTTGAAGAGTATGTCTCAGAAGCTCTGACTTGAGGCTTAGGGTTTAGGGTTTATAAATAGGGTTTAGGGGTTTAGGGTTTAGAGGTTTCGGGTTCCTAGAGTATGGGGTTTAGCGAGAGGTGGCAGTGGGTTAAGGGCAACGGTCTTGCATGCCGGGTCTACCTGCGGGCCCTCGTTCCCGTTTTTGTCCTCTAAGGTTCCTTTTGAAGCTGCCCTTTACGGTATAGGGTTTAGGGTTTAGGGTTTAGGGTTTAGGGGTTTAGGGGTTTAGGGTTTAGGGTTTAGGATCTCGTTGTTCCCTTGTTTGCTGGGGTTCCCAGCATGAATCTTATTATAGTAGGGGAGGATGTACAATCTGGGGAAGTGTTTTCTTCGAGATTGTAACAAGCCACCGTATTGTGCATTGCTCTACTCTAGGCGCCTAAATGATTACCAATACTATTCATTAGGGTTCCCTATTATATTGTTCTACTATTAGCAGAACCCAAAACCCTATTCTAATTGTAGACTTTAGATAATGTAGCCGAAGCTCTTTTACTAATACTATTCCGAACTATTCTTCAGGGTTGCTGATCTGCCGCCCTCCCCAAAACCTCCTTCTAATCTTCAACCCTAAACCCTAAACCCTAAACCCTAAACCCTAAACCCTAAACCCTAAACCCTAAACCCTAACCAGCGTACATGACGCGAAGGCCACTACAGGTCTGAAGGACGTGGACCTCCGGCCCCTCGGCACCTGGAATGGCTGTTTCGGGTTTAGGGTTTCGGGTTTAGGGTTTAGGGTTTAGGGTTTAGGGTTTAGGCGGCAGGGTGCGAGAGGTGAGGGCCCTTTGCAGTTCAGCGTTTTAGGGTTAAGCTGAACTTCAAGAGTCGGATTGAGGGGTTGAAGGTTAAGGGATATTCTGGGGCTTAGGGGTTTGGGGCTTAAGGTTTTGTGTCTGCTGAAGTCATGCGCATAGGAGATAGTGCTTCTAGTTTTCTGTCTACTCGCTGCGGAGAGCAGCACGCAACTGCAGCTGTGGATCCACAAATCCGCAAACTCACACCCCACCCCTGACTCGAACTGCTCATAGAGGTTTAGAGTTTAGGGCTTATAGAGATCATGCACCCTTAGCCCTAATTAAACTCCTTGAGGGCCCTGATTTGGATCCCTGACAGCGATGGATGCTTCGTTGGTTAAGGTCATGTTGATGTGTGTCAAAGACATTTTCAGTTGGGTAGCTACCATTATAGTGGCTTTATAGCAGGTCTATATACCTTATAGAAGCCTTTTTGAAGCCCTATATACCCTAAACTCCCCACCTGTAGTACCCTGAACCCTAAACCCTAAACCTTAACTTAGCCTAAACCCTAAACCATAAAGGCCTATACCCTAAACTCCCCACCCTGTAGTTTCCTTTAAGTGTGTGAGGGTTTCCATTTCAGGCGCTTGCAGGCGGACTTCATGGCCACCGTGCGGTCTGTGATCCGCATGATGGCGACCCTGAATCGCGAGGGTATCTTGACTGAAGCATCTGCCCCTTTCCGCCCAGGGACCTACTATATGGGGTACTAGAGCCCCTAGGGCCCTATACAGTAGATACTTGGGGGGTTTAGGGTGAAGCATCTTCGAACACCTTCGGGCTAACCAGCTATTCGTGTCTGTCTTTCTCTCTACGCGCGTCTAGCTGCATAGCGAATCCCGCACGGGAATCGCCCCGAAGAAGGTTTAGGGGGACGGAAGCCAAAAGCGCGCCCGTTCTCAAATACATAAAGGATCCCATCAGGATTCGGTAAGGGTTTGATGGGGTGTCGAAGGCTTCTGAAAGGGATCTATGTGGGTTTAGAGCCCTAGCATTTAGTGCAAAGGGTTTAGAGCTCAGAGACTTAAAGATTTGAGCTGTATCGCGCAAGGTCAGGGCTGCAAGGGCTTCGAATTCCGGGCTTTCGTGATTTGAGCATTCTGGGTTTCATGAACCACTTGTCTTCTCCTTGTCTCTCTTTTGGCCCGCAGTTAGTAGGCTTTCGGCCGCCATAGTGAGAGATCCCCATCTTCAGGCTCAGTCGGATGTCAATAACATAGGGGCCTTAATAATTCGAATAGGGTTTTGGGGCCCATTATACTACAATTATAATAAGGAACCCCCAAAATAGTATTGGTAATTCTTGAGGCCTAAACCCTAAACCCTAAACCCTAAACCCTAAACCCTATGTTACACCTTCCGAAGCCAGGTGTCGGTATGCATGCTCACCTCGTGCAGCTTCTGCTACGGCTCGACTACAACAACTACTTCTCCGGGACGGAGGTACTGCAGTAGGGTTTAGGGTTTAGGGTTTAGGGTGCGGTGTGGGTATGACGGCAACAAGAAACAGCTTTGTGTTCGGGGATGATACTAGTTCCCAGTGGATGTGAGAGGATCGTGTTAAGGAGTAGCACCTGACTATCAAACGACACCCCTGGTTGCAGAGATACGTACATCTCGAGCTCTTGGGCGTAGGATATGTGTGAGAGCAAGACTATAAGCTTGAGCAGGGCCGATGGCCCTACAAAGCCCAAGACGAAGCCAACCCCTAAACCCCAACCCCCAAACCCCAAACCCTAAACCCTAAACCCCAACCTCTAATCCCTA